GATTTCAGACATGCTTTTTTATTCCTTAATTGCGAAAGTGTCATCTGACCATTCATGGCTTGAACTACGAATATTACGACTACTACGAGTTTGTTACTGATATCAAAAACGGGAGTAGCTATTGAAGTGTATACATGCTAAAATTGACATTGCACCTTGTAATTGCTATTATATATCACTTTCTATTCACTAATAGTATGACAACTTTCCTAAATTGATGCAGTTGGACAAACCTGATCATTAAATTTCATATCCCAACTCATCTAACACAATGCTTCACCCATTTTCATCGCAAAGTGCTACGTAAATGGTTATTTTTCATGTTAGTCCCCCATAACCTTGAACCAATATCTAAACCCATGTCTAGCCAAGGTCTAAATTTAATAAAAATTGCTTTTTCATTACGAACTTACTATTCGAGATGGAATAGTCGAAATTGCCCTTTTCACTTCCTTTCGAAAAATACTGCCTTGGGTTGCGACCGTAAAAATTGACCTACGCAATCTAAACACACTAAGAAAGTATTGCATATGACCGCAACAGTCTGAATCAATTTTCATCATAAAATTCCAAAAATTCGCCTCTGTTGTCATAAGTAGGAAAGTTTGTATAGGATGGGATCTAAACCATGAGGCCAACCAGTTCAAGTTATTTGCGTATATTTTCTATAACAAAATATAATCTTCTATACGTTTTTTCCGAGAAAACATTTCGTTTTTTTTTTTTAAATGCGGCACTATAATTGGGAATGGTAGTAAAACTAATCTGATCCAATGTATTTGCAATAACGCTTGTCTTTAGGCCTTAAGACATCAGTGTACCAAATTTAAGGGCAGCCCTCAGAGCGACTGCGAGAACAGGCAAGCGTCAATTGTTTAGGAAAATAATTATGAATCTATCGGTATAACAAAAGGTGGGTGTATTTTAGGTCACCCTCGATTTTACATCCTTCGCACAAACTTAGCGCAAGTGATGTGGAGCGTAATAAAAAGATTTACGAACAGCTGAATTGTTAAATGGAAATATAAGGTGCATCAAAATATAATCTCAGATTTTAAAATTGAAGCGGGATAACTGCTACAAAACAAGTTCCTCTTTTACTTTGACCTTTCTTCCTGTTCTCCTGACTGCACATCGAAATGTTGCATCTAGAATAGTACACCAAAAGCGATTCTGACGATATGATCGAAAATTCAATGAGCATCGAGCAATTTCTTCGGCAAATTGGTTCAGAAAGACAGCATCAAATATCACAATGCCTTGAGCGAATTCTTTATCATATACTTTCAAAACATATAATGAATACCACAACTTTGCCCTGATACTCTTGCTAATACTCTTGCACACTGCGGCTTCGGTTTTATGATTTTAGGTAATTTCATTCTTAGCAGAATTATGCACGTTTACGGTAGACTGATTTTAGCAAATAAACGATTTTCGTAACAACATTTACAGATATAGGGTAACTTCAAAATAACTTACTTATATGTGTTGCTTTACTTGTGAGGCGTTTATCTAAATGTTACGAATGGAATGACAAAATAATTATATATCTTCTTGCCTCCTATACTTGGTAAGAAAGAATTTTTTTAAACAAATGAAGTGTTGTCAGAATGCATTTATGAAGGATTTGTAGGTGTGTTCTTAGCAAAAAAGGAAAATACTTAAAGCGGTTTCGTAGTGATTTCAAAAGTATTCGAAAATATATTTCCAACAAATCATTGACGATTAAATAATTTTCATAATGCATTTTTGACTTTTTGGCATGAAGTACCTAAGAACACATTTATATGAAAAAAAGAAAAAAAAAGAATAGAAAAATTAATGCCTTTCCTGTGTAGAAATCCTTAGTTAGTAGTTAGTGAAATTTTACACCAGCCAGAAAAACAACGTATGAATTATTATGTTTTAAAACTATAGTGGTATCAAAACCAAGAAATGGCCATAAAACACGTAAGATGTCGAGGACATAAATATTGAAAAGAGGAAAAATAACAAGTAAAGCAAAAAACTCAATTTGTTGCAGGTAACGTGATAAAGGTCTTTCTTTATGAAATTTTATACACAACAAAAAAAAAAGGAAAGAAACGTGGAAAACTTTTTGTAAGAAAGACTGTAAGAATTTAAAAAACAATCTTACTCTACATATGCCAACGTAAAAACAAAGATTGTCGAAGTAGAATAGACTGCACTAGAAGTTTAAATTTTGCACACACCAGGATCAGAGGCAGTATGGTCTATGCAGTTTCGACATGGTAAGCCCAGCTTTTTGGACGTACTCCAGAATATACTATGGGAAAGTCAGTTTTATTCAGATTAACGGTTTCAGCTCTTCTAGCTCGTGCTAACTAAGTTTGGTTCTTTTTTGATAGGTGTAAACAGGCAGCATTCCGCCGCAATCTGTCTAACGTAACAAGGACACGAGGGTACAGCAAAATAAGATTTCTTCACAACCAAGCGGACCTTTAAACAGTACTCGATGTATAAAAAAGTAATAGCAAGTGTAAGTTGTTTCGCTACTTATCTTGAAGCGAAAGCCGTAATTGTTCACCGCTTGAAAAGGCAGTTCATAGTATCAATGTTCTAAATTCTTATTTGCTCTGGAGTTGTAAGTTCCAATCTTTTCCTTGTTTCCAATTAGATATTGACATTCTGAAGCTTTATACATAGGAGGTTTCAGCCTTTACGATCATTTTTGGAATTGGAATTTGGTCACCCAACGTAGCCATAGGCATGCGGAGTCTTAAGCGATTTTAACGGACTTCTTCTTTGCAAGAGATCTACTATTGTTTCTGTTTGCTACAAGCGTAATAACAGTTTCAATGGTGATTGTGAAATAAAAAAAAATAAAAAAAATATGGAATATCATTTCCGGGAAAAAAATGATGCCACTTTGCCAAAGAGCTTACATTTCGTGAGAACATTTATACGGAAAGGGTGCCGAAGAATAGCAAATGGCAAATTGCTATTGTGGACATATCTGGAGCGTAAAATATTAAACATTTAATTTTTTTTTTCCCTTTAAGGGTAAAAGAGGAAATAGACTTATCCTTCATAAGAATTTTTATATGGGGAGGAAACCAAAAAATACGTGTAGTTAGTGCAACTTTGATATGGCTATTTTCTATGACAACTTACTAGCGTGGACCAATTTTCACCGCGAAATATTTAAGAGTGAAGAGTAGGAACGAATTTTGACATCAATTTAAGCTGCCGGAATATTATTACTTAGCGATTTTCCTCAAATATTGCGAAAAGGATTCTGAATCTGCACAAACTTTATCTACTCTGTGCCACAGTTGTGTAGGGTATAAATGGTGCAGTAATATTATGGGCATCGTGGGAAAAATGAAATCGTGGACAACAAACCCGATAAAAGGTTGAAGGTGGATCAAGTGCCATGCTTTCTTCGACTGATTTCAAACACTCTTTTGCTGACAAAGTATCTGCTATGTATTATTAACGTTTCATGTAGAAAGACGAATTACGACATCTACGTAAAAAATCGTCAACGTTTTTTTAGTGAAGAAAGTACTTTGGTTAGCTTGAGTAAAAGGAAAAAAAATGTTGTGCAAAAGTGAACGTTTGAAAGAAGCCGACGCCCGTTTCGTAAATAAATGAGCACATGAAGAGTGTGATGCAGAGCATTGGACATCTGATAAACTGTCGCTATAAGAGTGCGGTAGCAGCGATATATCGTATAATTGGGTGTCACAGGCATAATAGAAAAACAGTAGCTGTCAGCTCTTCAAGGTATTTTTTGTTTTGTGATAAAAGTAGTTAACAAAAATAATTTATAAATGTATACGCTTCAAATAAAACACGTGTTTGTTGAGATACTAGAGTGTAGTAACCGATAAGCACTAATTTGATAAGCAAATATTTGATTACTTAAAGCTAAGGTCGTGAAATCAATGCATAAGATATAATCTTTAACTTTTATGAATTCCAAAAATTTGGGTCTATCTACAATAAAAGTAAATTAGCTTAAATTTGAAGCTTTTTTTCTTCGAAGCGATTCTAATGAAAAGTAATGTAGACGTTAGTGCGAGAAACGAGGCGTATATATTAGGTGTAATACTTATTAAGTAAACATGTGTTTTCTTCATAAGCAGTTTCTTTACTAACTTTATTAGTCGTATCTATTTCATATAATTGAAGTATGCTGTCCTTACTTGGGGGAAGATGGAGACCAACGTGCGCCACTTTGGGAGCGGGAAGGCGTTTAAAAGTCGCAATGTATCAATTGCGATTTAATTAATAGCCTCACACTCACGGCAAGCTGCCGCAAAGAACGCCATCTCGTTAAGAAGAAAGGTTTTCACATTTTTGTATTGACGCATTTAACATAGTTGAGATTTTTAAGAATAAACTTTTTCTGAGAAATTTAGGTTTCGTTCAGGATTAAAAAAAAAGAAGCATATGAAGTCATTTAATAAAAGCATTCACGTACCTCTTTCCTACAAGCGTTCCAAATATAATTAGCTAGATATAGAAAGCTTCCAGAGAATAGAATCTTTAAAAATAAGTAATAATAATGTTAAAAGTAAGCATCTTGCTGCGATCTTATATATGTGCCTTAGGAATAAATATTTCATAAATTTTCATGATTTCTTTGATCTCGTACCCGTGGAGGCCCGGTTAATATTTCCAACATTTTGAATTGCAAATTTATTCACTAATTTTGTATTTAACGAATTATTATTATCCATCATCAAGAATATTACAACACTGCGGTAGCAAATTTTCAGCATCAGAACGCAATTTGGTTTTTTACTTAATTTATAATCTACGACAGAAGATTATAATTAAATATGATTTATTATTGTAATTACTTATATACATTTTATCACATTAACGGATGCCGTAAACTATATAGGGTATGCATAAGCATGGCATTCTCCACTAAGCTCAACTTGGTCAGCTTACCTCCAAGGCTTGCTGTACCACTTTCAAGAAGAGGTTCCAGTGTAGAAAATTTGCCTTACTATTGAACTTTTTTAATAAATAAATAATTTCAAGAGAAACTGCGTAGAGTTACTCCTTTTTCTTTCCTTTCTGATAATTAATTTTCGGATTTTAACTTGTCATGTTCTCTCTCCTTTTCTCGCTGTAAATTTCATAAAGCATTCCTATATAAATCAAAATGACAAATCATTACATAGAGAATTAACCTATTGTGAGACAGAAGTTTTACTTCTAATGATTTGCTTTCCTTAAACAGCATACGTTTTATAAATAACTGTAACTTAAAAACAAGTCTTTAATGTAACACTATTTGCTATGAAAATCACCATCTTTTAGTTAATGATAAATAAATACCTATGAATAACAAAATTATACTTAGAACTAATGAAGCAATGCCAGAGTAAAAAGCTATCGGCGGAGCATTCAAAAACAGCTTGAAAGATTAAAAGAACAAAAATTAATAAATAAATTGAACAATACGAAAAGGCAAATTAATTAAAAAATTGTTTCTTACATTAATGTCTGTCATTCTTACCTTAATTTTTGTGGCTAATTTTGCATCAACTTCCCCTGAGGTTTTACCCACAAACAATGGCGCATAAAATTCATTAATATTTTTTAGAATTCTGTATAATCAAAAAATATTTAGAAAATATTTAAAAGTGATCACATTGTTCAGTGTTTTGTCATATATATATATATATATATATATATAGATAACTTACGTTATATCTTTATCGGGTTGTACGTGTAAGCTTACTTGTATTGCAACATTCATTTTTAATGGTATGCCTAGACGCGGTTCCATAATGATGAAAAATCGATCACTCTCATCAATTGGCTTATGGCCGGTAGTGCTGTTAGCGTAACTAGGGTCGGCATCCCTGAATTCGACATGTGATACATACATCGGTACACCTGCAGCACATGTTGATATATCAGTGGCGCCTGTTTTATGGCAATTGTCTGGGTCTTGACAATAACATTTCATGTTAGGGTTCAAGACGCCGTTATCAAATGTCTCCGCTTGTGTTTCATAATGCACAGCTTCGATGCCTCTAAACGTATCTGTACCGATAGGCATCAAGTTTATTATACGACAGGTATCTCTACTGAAAACAGATACATATTCATTGAGATTTCGTTTAGGTGTAAATAGTTCGCCGGTACTGCCATTAATTCGGCCACATTCACCCGGAAAATATCCAGTATGACTCTGACCGTTCCATAATTTTATCTCGCCCAATTCCTGTAGATTACCTTGGCCAGTGTGTATGGTGAAAGTACCTTCGTAGTCTGACGAACCATTTCGATTAAGAAGGAAAGCGAAATGATCTGACGGTATAGGCGGTATAAGGGAATTATTTTGCTTTTTAGCAAAAGCTAAAAATTCGTCATAGAATCCTTCAAACAACCATTCGTTAACTGTGTGCGTTTGATATAATGCACCGCCATTTTTATTTAAAATGCTATTGAAAATTTTTTTCATAAAACTGCTTTTCTTACGCATAAAGCTTGAAGCGGCCTACAAAAAACAGCAAATAATTTTGTATCAAATTGAAACTTTGCTAACAGACACAACCTACTAGGGACGGTATGTGGGGCGCGGTTAGCAGATCGTCTAAACTTCCTGAAGACATTTTCGGCTCAAAATGCCAGGTACGCTGAGGCTTAAAAGAAATGGTTTTGTTCTCATGCCAAGTTATATTTGTTTTAATATTCGTTTCGCGAAAGACATAAGGACCGACACGTTCAAAATTTGGCTTTAAGCCAATTTCTTGCACTTCTTTACCATTCGTCCAATTAAACATGTATATCTGCATATAAACCGGTACAGGTATGTTCGACCACTTCTCAAAAGTCGTACTACCTTCTTTCAAGACTATCATCTGTAAGTAAAGATTTTCACCAATCCCCGAAATAATGAGGTAAAAGTGATAAACATGCAATCACTCACATTATCAATGAAATTGTCCGCAAAGCTTGGACCCCATACTGTCAACACAATTCCTAATATAAGAAAAAGTGTAGCACTACCGAACAGCCAGATTTTCTTCTGCAATACTCCACAACAACGACAGCACATGTTCGTCGCTCAATGCTTCTAACGCAAATGTTAAGATTTTCAATTTTTTATTAATAAATAAAAACATTCCCTAAAACATCGTTGCTTTAAATGCGAAGAAATTTTATCAACCGTTTTCAAGTTGTTATCAAACATTCAATTAACTGTAGCTTACGTATTTATTACTGATAAGTATGATTAAGTTTAAAAACTCCTCAGGTGTTTTCTAATTATTTGATTGCAAAGTTGAAGACTTTGATGTACAATGTATCGCGTATAAAGGAGAATTTTTACAACAGTTACACCCATAAACTTGTAAACGCACAAGAACTAAAGCGAAACTTTTCATTTCTCTGTTGGTATTTTATTACGCGCTCTGCCTGTCAACGGTCAGCTGTGTAAATAAATTTACAGATAAAATTTGTTAGTAGAATAAAACGATGAATGTTTATAGATTTGGGAAAAGTTAAAATAATATATATATATTTGTTCTCTAATTTTATAAGATAATACAATTAAAAATTTCTTTTTCTTTTAATTATTTTTATTATTTGTATGGTCTCAGATCATATTCAAATTTGCTTTCTGCGAATGAAGCGAAACCATACTAATTAAGCTTCAGCTTTGAGCTTAGGACATTTGTTTAGGACCGTGTATACACACTTTGCGAGTCTCATTAATAGCCAAGCGGGTAAATACAAAAACAAGAGATAGAGTAAACCAAGTCATAATCTCACCTCCGTTAAGGGTAAATATGCCCACTTTGTAAATTCTTCCATGCATAGCAATGGAACGACGGCATTAATGCATTCTCCTCATCTTGCGTTATACAGAATCAGAATACATGTGCGACCTACTGAAAAGCAAACTGCGGATTTATATTACGCTCAGTTGAGATATCGTGGATGGTTTTCTAATACTACAGTGGAGAGTTTTAAGTAATACGCACAAAGAAAGTATGTGTACATAATAGTCTGGGTTATTTAGCATACAAAAGCTCTTACATATATAAACAACTGTTACCTATATAACTTGCTCATACATATAAATATATTTGATGTACATAACACTTGGAGTACGTCATATACTCGAAATAATAGACAAAAATATCGCATAAATTTTTTCTGTAAGCAGGAAGATACTGATTTGTTGTGAGAAATTTCAGTGAAATTTGTCGTTCAACGTACGAAAAACGTGCAATGTTTTAGGTGAATGAATAAATGGCTTTATTCCATCTTCAACAGTCTTGGACTGTTAACTTAACTAACTTGTCCTTCTAAAACTCCACCACTAGTTACTGTTTCTGAAGGGATGGAGTCGTTTAAGTATTCAAACTATACGATCGTACCTTTCTTAGCGTTCTAGGAAATATTGCAGCAACCGCATTCGATTTGCATCCATCAAGCAATTGTCCAAGAGAGCGGTTTTGCGAAATATCATCTCTGGAATCAGTTTCCTTTTGTAACATTTCGGACAATGGGTGAAGACATATTTCTTGCCGTAAATATTAGTTACAAAATGGACGAATCGATGATGAATTATTAGTTATTCCTATCATCGTAAATTGTACCATTTTCAATCTTGACTACGCACAAAGAATTTGTACTCTTAACATTTGGATAATATAGAAGTAGAGTTAACCATCTTGTTGGCGATCTGCTGCTCATTACTGCGCTTTTGGGTTTGGGTTTACTTTAAAAAATAAGCACATGTAGAAATGATTATACATATATGAAAGTTACTTGATGAACTTAATGCACGTCTGCTGGTAGGTAGGTAACTACATAAAACACTTTTAGCGAAGAAGAGAAAAAACCCCTCCTGTTGATAGCTAGTCTAACTCTTCTACATTGGTAACATAGACCAATAAAAACAAAGGAAAGAAACTGTGTGATCCCGACAGAATGGACAGTGAGTGGACAGATTAGAGCAAATTACAAACCGTCATCATAATTGATATTAAAATGGGCCATAACTAGAGGAAAAGAATGTAGAGAAAAAGAATCGCCATGATTGCAATTATATCATTACATGGCAATAGAAATACCCCAATACCAAAATAGGTATGAATATTAGATTGAACTATGGCCGAACCTTTATACCTATCAGAAAAAAAAAAAAAAAAAAAAAAACAAAAAGAAAGGCGAGAATCGAGACTCTGTAATATTGGAGGGCTTGGCTGAATATATCCATTAGTATGTAGACATGATAAGATCATTTACTATAGAATTTTATGAATAATAAGCCAAAAAACTACTAAGCAATGGCGTTCGCAGCTTACGTTGTACAGTAAGCGTAAGTGTTAAAACAATTTGAACAAACACAATATTTTCACTTGAAGCCGAAATCTTCATTTTCTTCGTCAAAGAAATATTTGTCAGCCAGTGGACAGAAGGACGTATGGACATTATTAAATTAACTCTGAATTTGATAAAATTTTTGGCGCTTACTTTTAAGTATTGTAGGCGTCAACACGTAGGTAAAGTGATGAAAAACCCTGTATTTGCTCATTACTCATAGATGTATTTAGAGAAACTTGAACTTATATTCTGCAGACGATGCTGTAGCACCTCTAAAAAATCGAAAAATTTTTTTGGAAACTTTCGTAAATTCTTTGCCATTTTCAAATTCGTAATGCTCCTTATGCTCCTGTCCGTCCATTCAACTGTCCGACTGTGCGTCTGCGTAAGTACGTTAAGCATTCTTCCATTGGCTAAACTGGAGATATCGCTTGCAGACTTGCAAATGAATTTGAAAATGATCCAAACTTTTTAAAGAACACGCCTACAACACGCCCACATGGCTTTATAACAGAAACAGTGAACTCAACACATACACCATACAAATTTCCACTTTTATTCTGAAAACGACCGAATACAGTTTTCTTGTTTCTTTTTTCTCTTTTGAAATCCCAAGTGCCATTACGCTTTAACTGCCCAAGTATTCACGTGCGATATAAGGTGCACATGCTTTTTTTTGAAGTGGTAGCAACATGTAATTAAAACACGATATTTAAAGTAACATTTTTATATAACTTTTTCAAGGTCGTCTGCTTTTTGTGATGCTATGTGAAGAACGAGCAGTTTTGGGAATTCAAAACATCGCCAATGAGTCATGATTTATACCCCACTTTACATTATATGAAACGTTTTGGAAGTTATTCATTATTCAAAGGTGTTTTCCTGGATTAGTTAGAAAGCGTAAAAAACAAACACATAATTGATCAAATTTAACGCTTAAATTTCCTGCCTGATCAGTTGGAATAAATATTTCTTTTTCTCTCTTGCTTAAGCTTTGAGTGAAGAGTAATTATTTTCGACAACTCTGACCTTTGTGTTATAATTGAATATAGGAGGAGGACAATCCTTTTCTTGCTGCGCGCTTTTCTTTTTAAATGTAAAAATTATTGGCGGCTCTGAAGTAAAAAATATTTTCATTCAAAGCAATCTTAAATATTTACAAAAAAAAACTACCTCATGTAAAAATTATACGTAAACGTTTGCCCGGATGCCAGCAAACCAGCACGCACTTAAAGTACATAAACTTGTGTGAAAAAACATGGGGCGGTTGATTTTCATACACAAGAAATACTGATGGCAAAGCAACGTTTCCATCTATCTCCTGCTGGTAGTAGATATTCGACGAGAATGTAATAAAAAAAGTTTTCGATTTATTTTCGATGTTTTAAAGTTTATTGTGAATTTGATCCTTGGAATCCTATGCGTTGAAGAAAGGATTCCCGTTGCTCTAGTTTCCTTATTTTCTTACATTTTATTTTTCTGATCAAGCATTCTCCTTATTTACCATTCTTCCTTATTCCGATTCCTTCTATTTGTATTGCACCTGTCGCTTATTTTCCATATGTCTTTTTTATTTCTCATCCAAATAACTTAATTAAATAAGATCAACTAAAATCGTCGGGTAAAATCAAGTCACCATGGGACTTGTGAGGAAATTGTTAGCAATTTCATAAGAGAAGTTTACGTATATTCCAACTAAGTGACCTCAATTATAGGACCTTAGAAGCGGCTTTCAGAACATTGCAAATGAGTTGAGAAACTTAATGTCTTCAAATCACAAGATGCGGAAATTTTCATGAAAGGATATTTGATCTACATTTTCTTGCGATGAAATGAAATAAAATGATTTTGATGGTTGCGACCTCTTAAATGCATAAATGATACCAATACATAAAACGTTTCCTCCAAATAAAACTTACAATAAAAATATTTTATCTTTTAATAAAATTTCGGCTGTTATTCTTGTTATTATTTAATTTTAATACAAATTCGGATAGAAATGAGTTTTCTTTTGAAGAGAATGCATTTAATTACAAAAGAAATAAAACGAAAAACAAATATTTCATTTAGTTTTCATCGCAGGAATTGCTTTGGAAAAGTCACAACACGAGAAGACAAAACCTCTCGTCAACACAGCTCAATTTTTCTCTTTATGAATTATTATAAAACGTGCGATTTACATTCCACCGAGTGCAGCAGCAAAGAATGATAGCGAGAGGAGAAGCAAACGAGCATACTTGCATGCGTAAGGAACCTACAGTAGAACAAAAAAAAAAATAAATAAATAAAAAAATAAAAAAAAAAAAACCATAAAAGCCACAAAACTCGACGAACAATAGCAAAAACTGGAGCAACATTTTTCGTTTTCTCATTGTTTTTTTGATTTTTTTGTTGTTGTATACTTAACAACAATGTAAGCTCTGAATTGGTTGGCCGGTTTGGTTTGGTTACTACTTTTACAGTTACAGAGAAATTGCATTGTGGCGTGTAGTGATGGTAAAATTTTTCGAGGATACATTTTATGGATAACAATAGATGAAGAAATAGAAGCTGTGCACAAAGTTTTTCAAAAGTAAAACTTAAGTACAAACATGTATATAGATTTGATTGTGCATGCATATAATACATGTATACAATTGTAAAAATTTATTTCAAAACACATTGGGAAATAGCAGATTTTAAATGGAAAACGTTGCGAATAATTGTAGGAATATTTCTATGTATGTGTAACGTATCCATTATCTCTTCTGACCAACAAAGGTTTAAAATCCGGCGAAATAGAGTTTGTAAAATAAAATTGAATAAATGTATTCCGGTTGATATTGTTTTCTTCTCGCCTTTACGTACAGCTGCTTGTTTGAGTATTCGTTAAGAGCATAAAAATAATTTTATATATTTTCATCGCTATCCTCAAACAGTCCGTTCTCTTTTATATAATATATAACTAATAATGAATGCATTGTAATAATGAATGTTACCTTCTCCTTCTCTTTCGATTTGTTGGCCCTTTTTCTTCCTTTGATCTCGTTGCTTATGCTCCGTTTCCATTCCGGTATATTTGGCCCACATTCGACATTTAAACTTTAAAAAAAAAAAAAAAAAATCATTGATAAAAGTTATTTTATTTTACTGACCGTTTATTGTCCATTTTTTTAGCATAAGTTTTAACTTTATTATAATTACGCGCTTGTATATATGTATATATACAATGTGAATATGTTTTATACATAATCACTCTACTACGTAAATATACAAATAATATGCTACAATTTATTACAACTAACTACAAACGCTTACTGTTATATAAACAGACAACTTTATAGTTTTTTTATTCAACATTTCTAGCCCCTCATCCCCGCGTCTTTGCCCTCTCCGACAATATTATTATCGCTATAAGTGACTAATTTACTGGCTCTCGGTGATGATGTACGCTTGTTTAAATGTGTATATAAAAGTCTGTTGATATAACAAATGAAATGTGTGCTGATGTGTACGTACATAAGTAGGTAAGCGGATGAGATTTTGCGCTGCTGGTCCTTGGAGTCAACTATAAACAATTACCGCTGTTAATATCGAGAGCATTGCAAAGTTTTTCACTATACATATATTACATTTATGTAAGGTTGGAACATTTGATACGCATTGGGACTCTTGGTTAAGGTAAACAAAGAATATTAGTTTCATATGAAGGTTGGATATTTAGAATTGTTGAAATGATATTAGGGTTTTAACAATATGGAAGATTATTTGAAAGTCATTGAATGAACACGTCATTAAAGTGGTACGAAACACTTGGGTAAAAATTTAAGAAAAATAACAGAGATCTTAAAACCAACGAGAAAACTAATTAATTTTTTATCAATGTTTTCTTTTTTCCGTATGAAACTCCTTTGTCAAAACCTGCCTACAGTGAGCAGTGCAACTGCTGTAATCGCTGATCGGTGTGATGTCTAGACGTGTAGCAAACATACCTCGAGTTGCTGATTATAGAATAATAAACAAACAAAAAAAAGAACACCAAGAAACATGTTCACCCGAGGCTAGCATACATAATTTTCTCTCACTTCCTCGATTTTGTTTAATATTGTCATAGTCTAGCACAGGAAGATGAAGCAGCAAAGCAAGGAGATTTTGAAACCTACAAACTTGTTTGGCAGCCTTGAAGACAGTTGAGGACGAGTATTTTCTTGATCCGCTTTTAAGGCGTAACAAATAAGCCAAGCGTAGCTTTACCAAAATCAAGCGAATTATGTTGTCGATTCCATCTAATTCTTGCAGCATCCATCTTAAAGTCCTTAAGTCCTCATCGTAGGTAATTATTTTACAGCGGGGCATCGACGCTGTCAGCCTTTGGCAGTCGGATAGTGTTTTCGCTTTCGTTTTGAAAAGGACTCTAAATGGCTGCAGTCACCTAATCATTTAATATCAATAATGTAATTCTAGTTCCACAGGGAATAGTACACGAAACTTTTAAATGTTCGACCTAACAGTGAGTCGTTTTACAAAGGGAAAACCTTATTGAAAATAAAACAATAACAAAAATCAAGTAAGAAAATTGTATTCGTGTGGTCCCCAATCTAGCATACCTACCACTACTAAAACCTTTAACGTGTAAGGACCAAAGTCACAGGACTTGTTATGGTTCTACACGTAGTTATAAGTTATTCCTATGTATTTAAAGCCGGATAAGTATAATTCACGTGACGGATTTTTTCCATTTCTGTGAAAGTATTATAGAATCGTCCAATGCAATATGTATGCAAATGTCAATCGTTTAGTCTGCTGCGATTTATAAGTCACAGGAAAAGCCTCGAATTTCGTTATTTTGGGAAACAGAAGTGGTCCCAGGGTATTTTCAAATATTTCTGCGAGATATGAGGTCGATAGCGATCGAGAGAGTGTTTACCGCAGATATTATATAAGCAGATAGATAGATGGACAAACGGACATGCTTGAAGTGATTCCGAATTTAATGTTGATTGACAATATATTCATTTTACGGAAACTCCTTCTCTCTTCTTCTGAGATGAATATACTACCATCCTTCAGTGCACGACACGATAATAAAAGCAACAATAATAATAATGACAACTGGATGAACCTATAACATGTATATGCATTAAAAAAAAAGGTCGTATGCAACGTGGACTGCGGGGTATATAGCAGTCTTCTCATAGTCTGTCAGAATTGGTTAAGAATGTAAGTAGAGTGGCAACTTGGCTATCAAATATGACAACAATAAGCGCATGGAAGAGAGCTAAACTTCTTTACAAGAGCCGTTGCTTTTAGCTTTGTGCTGACACAAGCTCATCCTCTGCACCTTCAACCTTTGGCCTATAAGTTCAAAATTTGTAAACTATATTAAACTATTTCAAGAAACTTGAGTAAAAACTCCTATACACATGTATTCATCACTATACATAATTAGCAACATACCTTGACCCAAGGCTTTCATAGGGCGGCAACCTAAATTTTGAGGATTGTGGGAAATTTTAATAAAAAACTATACTAAAGAGTAACGAATAAGTTTGAGGCCAAGGCTTTGCTGAAACGGACAACATCTGTCAAATAATATAATTTACATTTAAAAAAACTTATTTTGCTGTTATCCATCCTTTGAAACCCTCTCCACTTCAAGGCTAATTGAAGACAATTTTTCCAACTTTTGCTTTTCTCACATTTGTAACATAAGCATTATATACTCTTTATTTACTTTGATTATATATTTTGTTTTTGTTTTTGTTTCTTTTTTTTGTTTTTTTTTGTTTTTTTGTTTTTTGAGAGAAATCACAACACTTGAATATACATTAATAACAATAATAGAGAGAGACATGTAAGCGATTACAGCGCTTTATAGTTAACACAACATATCATGAGTCTACAGAAACTTATTAAAATTATTCAAGTCCATCAACACAATTCATTCCCTTGTCGTAGTAAATTAAAATTTAATTTTCCACTTCAATTTCCGGTTGAGCCTTGCGGCTGGGCTGAATTATTGACAAAAGAGTTTATAATAATTTAAATGCAGATTATAATTAACATTAAAATGTGCAAGTGTGTTAATAATTACATACCTTGGGATGCATTAAAATGAAGGGCAATTCAGCGCATAATTCACCGCCCAAAGCGCCTAAAAATAATTTAACTTTAACAGCATAGGAAACAATAATTCCAAATGCATCACGAGTATCCTGGCCAGCAATTCTGCATGAGATAGATAGAGATAGAGATAGAGATAGATAGAAAGATAGATACGTAGATACATAGAGAGAGAGAGAGAGAGAGAGAGAGAGAGAGAGAGAGAGAGAAAGAAATGCTTATTCCAAATGTTGCTTTGAATGAAAACGTATTTCAGAACGATGCACTTACAGCGTTGTCGAAGCCAAAGATGTTTCTTTGTGTTTAATATCACCCTCTACAGCAACACCAGCACGATCACAATTGGCCGCCAAATTCGGTACCAAATACATAACCTTTTGCAAGCTGGAACCAGGATTCAAAGGGCAGCCCTCGCTGCTCTCTGAATGAGCGATTGTATTACGGAATTGTCCGTTTTGGAAGAGCACAATATCAATGCCCTGCTGTACCATGGCCTTGACTTTTTTTACTATTTTATTAGAATTATTTCGCACGCAAATATTAATAGCAATCTTTTCTCCGTGATAATAGAGTTGTTTATCCAAAGTAACTTCCAATTCCAATTCCCCAGGGGATAGTAGGAAATCTTTGCGTACCAAAGTGCAAGGTTGAACACCTTGCTTGGTAGGGGCATATTGAATTTTACGAATGCCCAGAGTAATAGTGCTGCGGCGATGAGAACGATCGCAATCGCTTTCACCAGCGAATACCTTAACAAAATACTGAACGCCGCATGGTTGCGATTCATCCTGAGCCCTTTGCTGTAAAACCACCGAAGCCGGTGAAGATGGTGGCATTTCCATAACGAATGGAAAAGCGTTTGAACCTAATTTCTTGAGCAAACGCTCTTGCATTTTAGTTAATTGCATTTCAACCTTTTGCTCTGGGTAGACTTGATTTGAAACCAATATAAGTTCTTTTTGGAAGCGTAATCCCATAGCCTCGTCATCTTCGCGACCATAACGGAAATTGCAGATTAGCTGCACGAAGACTTTACGATTTTGACGCACATACTCATCGTCCAAGACCACAATACCATCTGTAAAATTAACAGAGAAATGCAATTAAATCTTTCGCTACTTTTCGCTTTTCGCTTATATATATATATATATATGCATATATATAATCCTTTGCAAAACCTACCAATCGGTTCTACTTGGGTTATTGAATCCACAAACTCACGCCTGTTCATGTACAGGGTGACCATGTTGTTTGGGGCCACCTTTTTAAAAACTTTAAAATTGACCACCATTTTGATTGCTTTCTATTCTTTTACGTATCAGCGATTAAAATCACTAAACTGAAATGAATTTTTCCTTTAAAAGAAAATTAAAGCTCACAAAACTATTTTAACCTATTACGTTAATAATAAATACAAATTTTAATTTTCGTGTGTTTTTTGCTTATAGTCTTTTGATTCCACGGCCGTCGCAAAAGTGACTGTGAATGCTAACGCGATAAACAAGCGCATTATATACCTGTTTGTTTGAAATTTTATTTAATTAACAAAACGACAGCAGACCAGACAAAATTTATTTTAACCTAACGTATTGGAATAATTTTTAAGGTTTCTCTACAAAACAAACTTAAGCCCTAAAACCAATAAACTTCCACATGCACGCATTTTCTAATATCGACTTGTTCTTCTCTGTTTCTTCTATTTTATTGCTATTATTAAATTTGTTTGTTTATTTAATTTTTTTTTTTTTTTTTTCATTGCTTTCGCTGCGACCGGAGTACGACAACAAACAATATTCTGCTTATTTTCTATTTTCTACTTGATTGGCCAGAAAAACTTATTGCTAACATTGTTAATGACATTTAAAAGGCATTACATTTCAATCAACTAACTGCAGACGATGGACAAATCGATATTTAGGAAAAAATATTAACAAAGAAGGAAGTTAGCTAAGGAGAAATAAACAAAATATTAAATCAAACATAACAAATGAAATTATTTTTGTCTTGGATTGAAAGCTAGATGCTCATCATTTAAGGTAGATCTATAAAATAAGTTAGAATATTGCAGTCGGACAAAGCAGACTGTTAATTACTCTACGCCATTTCGCTTAAAACAACAGCTGCGTTTTTTTTTTTTTTTTTGCCGTAAAACACAAAAAATAACATCTTGTCGTCATCCAAAGGCTTATTTATTTAAAAGCGTTCACGCGAGAAAAGATTGAAAAAATGACCTTCCCCTGAACAAATCTCTAATATTTCTTTGCGCTAAAATACTACTCTACGAAGATTTTCGTCGAGAAATTTATTAAACAGAAAGTTTTTTCCAGTGCCGATCTTTTTTTAAAAGTAGCTCGCATGGGTATTCAACGGCCTTCAATAACGTGCTTTGAAAATGAACTTCTGACACAAAAGCTCTATATACCCTTATTACGAATAGTAAAGGTTATAAAAAAATGGAAATTTCCTATTTTTCTGTAATAAGCGCGTCGTTAGGTTGTTATAGAACATTTGCTTACGAGAATTACTGTTGTGTAGTCGCACTACATTGCAAGCTTTTCAACGTTTCTTAACCATCGTGTTTTTCCTAAAATCGAGCGGCAACGCACAATTAACTTACATATAAGATGTAATAAAAAAATGAATTTTTTGCTATATAAAAAAATATTGTTGAGCAAGGACAAGTACATTAAGGAGCAGAATTTAAGCGGGAAGTTAAATTCACTTCATTGAATTTTCATATAAATCTTGCAAATAGTTTTGCTAATTCGAAATTTATATTCTTTGGTAAATTGTTAAAGCAAAGAGTTTTTAAAATTATCTGTGATTTTCGTAATGATTTCGGTTATCTTTGCTATCACTAGCATATTCGTGTTTGCGTGTAGTTCTACCAACAAAGGAATTTGCTTTAAAATGGCGAGCAGCGGCTCACAGACCATACGATTTACAGTGTCGTAACGCGCACCACAAAATTTTTTTGGTAACCGGTTTTGATCTGCAGGCCACGATTTGCTGCACTTTCACGTGAAACGTAGGCTTAGAATTTCTTCCTTGAATTTTGGCTATTCAAAGCGATAATGAGAAGTCAGATGAATGAGAAAATGTAACTTAATCAGCTCACTAATCTGACCTCTACATATTGCATAGGTCCTTTGATGCCTACACTAACGTATTACTTGTGGAACTGTAAAAGTTCGATATCTTCGAACAGCCGTCATCTTATGATATCAAAAGTGTAAGAATCCTTATGATTACATAAAAGAATTTATTCAGCTTGCTAAGAATTTCAACGTAGCAATGCGTGAAGATCTTGAGTATACGAAGAGAGTATATATGTAAATTATTGTCGCTGAAAATTCTGTTCCTTTTTGTAAACAGTTTTTTATATCACGATGCAGCAAAACCTTTTCCCTTCTTTCCTTAATTGTGATGAGAGGAAAATAGCAGCGTTATACAGTGTCAGCTCTGCGTAACAACGCGTGTACTCTTAGTGTATATGATCGCACCGAAGTGAACGCAGCATACTCTTCTTTAGCTTTGAATATGTGGAATTGCTATCCGAAAGGCCTTCATTGGCGCGGGGAGCTTATTTAATAATAATAAACGTTCTATTAAATCGTGACTTGATATGAAAATTGCATCCAGTATGGTAGGTAAAAAAGCACATAAAATCATATATGAAATTAACTTAATCTTTCAAATTTCAATATGTCAAATATCGTGCCGTAGCGGATTAATACGCGTAGATTTCGTATTCAAAATGTGACTTCTCTCAAACGACATCAAAATCTCCTGTCATGTCGATTATTTGTTTACAAATACGTGACGATACGAATGATGACGATATTTTTGTTATTTTCAAAATAATGAAAGAATCCAAATTGCGCGTAATGACTACATATTGCCTTGTGATGGGGGAAAAAGTACTGTTAAAAGCCGTCATTAGTTTGAAAAATGTTATGCAACTCTTCTACGGCGAAAACTGTGAATTGTGGATGTTTTACGGATAACAAACTAGATCTTACTGGCACTGATGTTGCTGAGCGTAGCTAATTACGACAGAGTCGCAAAAGTTACTCTTCGTAATCGATAAGTGACCTTGCACAATACAGCTATCGCCACAACAATACCAAGAGGTCAATGATTCACTGCTAATTCTTAAGAGAGCTAATGAAGGCAATAAGAATGTATTGAAGGTAGAAGCATGTAAACGTAATATTTTAATATGTTTTCCAGATCCACTCTTAGAAGGAATAACAAACTATGTCACACAGAGACGCTGGCTGAAACGATTGCGAACAAGAGCTTCAGCTTGCAGTTTGTTATCTGATACAAATATAACGGCAGGTTAGGTTTGCAAAGTTCAGAAATCTATTTGCAAGGTTTGCGTAAGATTTAAGTCGTTCAGTTGTCTCTTGATCCGTGCAAAAGTCCATCCATCTCTGATTTCACCTGGTCGGCATCCACGCACCCTTTCGAAATTTACGTTAACTTACGCTTCCATCGACACGTCGCTCCGTTTGCTTATGTCTGCAATCAATCATTCTAATCATATCTCCATTCGAGTTTTCTTCCATGCGTCAACTCCTGTATGTATTTATCCGTTTTTCTAGCTCTCCAATCTTACCATGCGCGATGATAAGGTAATCAAGGACACAACAACCTTTGATTTTTTGTTCCTATCAAGTTTAAAAAGGGGATAACGCTCAAAATGGTTGAGCAACAATCCCAAGATGATCCTAATTATTTCAACAACAGTTAATAAATTTTCGATTATAAAAAACCTAAAACACAGGGAAAGTGGGCGAAAACTCTCTAAAATGTAGAAAAATTCTCAAAATACTATGTCAACTTTTGGGGTCGTATCCTTCCTTTTAGTCTTCCGTTAGAGACTCCTGTTTGTGGATAACTTTTTGAACTCCCGCCCCAAACAACAGTTCTTATAAAATGATAAATGCTTGCAATTATTTTCACTATTTTTTCACTTGGAAAAGTGGGACAATATATTTCAATCAAAAGATTTTCTATCATTTTCTACACCTTTTTCCCTTTGTCGAAAGAACGATATTGGCTTGGCCGTGATACAATCATCGATGCATTTTCGCACTTCGCCAACTTTGCGAAGCTTTGCTCAAGCCGCGCCATGCTGCATCGAACTGAACAAATGGTATTCAAAAGGCACCATATCTGGTGAGTACGCTGGGTGTGACAGAACTTTCCCTTCCAGCTGTGACAGTATACCCAGGGTAACTTGCTGCAATAATTTACCAAAATGGCATTCTCAGTCAATTCGTATGGGAGCCGCTTTTCCTCCCTTTGGATCTTTTCCACCATCATTAGCGTCTGTATGCGCTGAATAACTTAATCATGCTAAATGAAAAACTTTTATTTTATGTAGAGAAAGGTGAAAATCATCGAATTTAACCATTAAGCCCATTAACACTCCACGTTACATTATCATTTCTACCAATAAAAATCGCCGACCAAAATAAATGCATGTACTTATTATGATAGAGCAAGGGTTCTGAACGGTCACTCACATGTAGATATAGGTGTACGAAAAATTTCCCCGCTTAAATAAAGTCTCTAACAAATCTTGCATTTTGAAATCCATAAGATTCATACTTTTCACAGACATCATTTTTGTTCATAAGTAGTAAATAAGAATACTCTACGAATCTTGTATAAGCTGAATTTGTGTTTGCCTCCTCGACTTCGACTTGCTATTAAAAATTCTCTTCTCATGTCGTATGTTAAGTATATTATTGGAGTATTTTTCCGTTGGGCGTTGTATAACTAGGATGGGTTTTAATGTACTGTCAGGCCTATTGCACGCCTTGTTTATAAAATCGAACGCAGAGTCCGCATTTAATCCTTTGTCCATGCTGTTGTGAAATTTTCATTCTCATATTTACATCATCTTATATTCATACCTTTGGCTGACCCATCGTTTACTGTCCGTGCAATTCGTTATTGTAATGCGTTGCTGATGAGTTTGAAATCCTCTGACGATTCCTTTGATATATTTGGCAGGAAATTGACCATATCTTCAAACACACGTAACTTTCCCTTGTTGCTGCCAGCAAATGATCACCAGGGACATTCTGGAGCAAGGTGATTGTAGCAGTAATCTTTAGTCAAATTTGCATACACTTATAATATAATCTTTCGTGCATGATAATTACATGCCTTGTGGCTGCAAGCATTGGCCTATTGTTTTTTGCATAGAATGGTAATAATAATAAGAAATTTATAAGCACATGGCATTTTCACGTAAACATCGTCTTCATGAAACTAATTGCTAGACTCGCGATTTCCAAACATTTGTTTGGGGTTTTCCTTCTCTTTAGTGCAGCGTAAGTGTAAGTTTCTCCATATTTTTCAAACGGATTACATTTTTTCTTAGCAGAAATTATTTTCAATTTTTTTTTACGAACGAATGCTGATTGAAAAATTTTTTATATCATTGGTAAATATAAATAAATTTTCAGTTACATAAACATCTTTCTCCAGTATGGTGAACGGAGAACGAATCACATATAGTACAGAAAAATGCCATTGCAAGGTGTTTAAGACCTCATTCATCAATGGCAAAGAAAAGGGATATAATAAACATTTTGCTGTTCAGGATTCTTTCGAATTGTAAATGTTTCTCCTTTCTTTGCTATCCTATTGCATAAAACCAATTTCCGAAAAATAGTTAAAAATTGAAAAAAAACGGGGACTTAAAAAAAACTGGTGAGAGAAGCGTATTCCATCGTTGAAATCTTTTACATAATGTTTCTTTAAAAAAGGGTATGGTAGTTTGTTGAACGAGTTCATTTGCTTATCTTTTCCTTTATATGGGTCCAAAAAATATTTTTAGGGGGTTTTTTTATCAGTGCCTCCTACTTACAGGCTGCAAATTATAGTTTCTTTTCAATATCTTCTGTGCTTATAGTGAGCGTGGTTTTTGCCCAAATAGTCAGACCACGGCTAAATTACGAACGGCTTGAGTTACCTTATGCTCACCAACCAAACAGAAACTCTTCATATGTGCTCCGAGGTACTTTTCTGGTTGTTACAAAAAGAAGAGTAAATGAAACATATCTACGAATCGTTCGCTAATCGGTATAACAAGAAGTAAAAACATCGATATCTAAAAAAAAAAAAATAATAAATAAAAAATTGTCACTCTACACTTTCCACATCATTGATTGGCATTTTTCTGGTTAGCACATTGCTGTTGCAGAAGCCAACGTATTGTCATTACTAGTTAGTAGAACCTAAAAATTGGTTTTGTTAACAAACGTTACTGAATTGTTTTGTATACATGTAAATATGTGCGAATGTGGATATAAGCAGAAGAAAAAAAGGGAAACCAAATCAATGTGCATTCGTGTGCGCTTAACAGTGGCAATAGATAAAAATATTTCTACAAGTAAATCGACTAAATCTCAATAACTATATAAGCGGGTGTGTATGGCGTTGTAGTTGACAATGTTTCTCTACATATACGTACCCATGCTTTAGTACGGGAAACCTGCCCACGGTGTAGGTGTATATATATATATATGGGTTTGCATGTTACTGGGTTTAGAATGTGTATATAAGTGCGCGTTGCTATATAAACATTGGAAATATGTTGTTACTCGAACCTGACGTTTGCTGTAATTGTATGTTACAATGTGTATCCGATTGTGTGCCAAGTTTCCGGTGTATAAGTAGACAAAGGATAAAAATGGTAGAAAAGAACTGAAAAAAAAAAGAATATATATATGTATATATATGTACATATAAATATATATAAGGAAACAAGTAAAACAATTGGCAAATGTCTCATAACAATTGAATTTGGAAAGCATAACTGCACAGAGTGCATATACTTCTATGACTACCTTTGGAAAGGTGTACACAAATATTTTTATCTAGCCTTCGTTGAAAAAACGATTTTATCTCCGAATTTCTTAACTTTTAAGGTCATTTCTTTTTTTCCTCTTTTCGAATCATAAAAATCTTTTACTTATGCTTTCTCTTGAAATTAATATCCGTTTCCGTTATTTGTTAAAAGGAAATGAATTAAAACAACGATTGTATATAAATAAAAATATTTGTACTCAAGTAATTCTTTCATTTTTTATTTAGTAAAGAATTTGCTATATAAATATTCAAGTGACTGTAGTAACGATATAAGGGTCCATCAATGAACGCCATTGAAAGCAAGTATTGCACGAATGCCAAGAATTAATAAGAATTTTAACGTTTCCTTTGTTTTTATTTTGTTTTTGCTGGCGCCCATCCAAATCTACAACGGTAAACAGACGAATTTTCTCTTAGGTTGAGTTTACATGAACTCGTAATCTTATTTTACCCGGCTAGGTATGCCTAGACAACTTCATGTGGTCGAGTAATACCCGTTTCTCACCTATCATATGCACCAACTAGTTTCATTAACATAAATGTTGTTGCTGGACTGAATTTTCTGTAGCAAATTTTACGTTCATCGTTCACTTCTTTTGTTACGACGAATATAAGCCCTTTGAAAGAAGGGCGAACGTAGTGGCCTTGTTTCTGAGGTTGTTGCAGATGACATCAGCTTTACTTTCAACATGAATAAAGCATTCAACATGTAACACCACTTTCGGCAACAATGGCCGTACATAGTGTGTAAGAACAGACACATTCGTGTCTTAACGATTCTCGTTAAGCACAAGAGTTGTGAAAATTTTTCGCTATTTCTTTCGTCCCACGGCCGATTTTAACGGCCAAGAAGCACTACAATTTGTCCTTCACTGAAACACATAATCTGTTGTTTTAAAAGTTTTCAATTTTTATCAAAATTTACAAGTGGATGCTTGTGGATATTAAAAGCATCGCAAGAATTAACCTTAAAGTAGACTATGGAGAATTTATTTATTTATTTATTTATTGATGACTTGTTTGAAGATGCGAACAGCTTAAATAGGATATGATCTAAAATACATTTCAGAAGCTTCAGAATGCTTTTAAAGCCTTCTCCAACAAATATACTTTCCGAATGCAGTCAGAGATTAGACCACCAGGTGAAAAACCATGAAAAACCATTCCTTTGTATATTGAGGATTGGTCTATGTTGCTGGCAAGCACCAGATTTCCGAAAGAAATTTTGAAACTATCAATTAACGATAAAGACGTACTTTTACAATTTTTCAATAGCCTTCTTCAATATGCAACGCGAATTGCATACATTTGCAGAATTTCTCCACATCATTGCAAACCCAAGAAGGAACAATGTTTGTAACCTGTTTTACACTCATTTTTATAAGGAAAATTGACGAGCAATACGAATGAGTTTTGTAAAGCGTTTCAGCGAAGGATTTGAGCTCTAAACAATGAAGATTACTTTCTTTTCTGCTTTTACTTTAATAGTTAAAAGCAATTTTCTTGAATAGTTTGCATTGGTTGTCTTTGATTATTGAAGCAACAGTCCTTACGTTTTTTAGGGTGCTTGTAAAATTCCTCGAGCATAAGCATATTCTTTAGTGTATTCACGCTTACAGCACACTTCTTCCAAGGGTTCTCTAAATTAATTCTTCCAACCCTAGAACGATTTTGTGGTAACTACATAAAATCTTCACGCAATCCTTTCAATTTCTTGATTGATGTTTACCGAGAATCGCTCGTCGTCCTCGTTTTTTCGTTTTCTCTTTAAGCGGATTGATTAATTACTCAAGAGATCTTCTTGAGACACGAGGTATCCTAACTAAAGAAGTGCCAAAAGAAGTGTATTTACGTGCGGTTTATTTTTAAATCGTTCTATAAGCGCTCTGACACCATCCGAGTCAGTCGGATATATCCTTTGTTGATTACTGACTAAACTAAAAAGCGTGTTTCGTTGGTGAAAGTATTGTTATGAAATTCGCTTTTTACTAGGATACAGTCCGTTTCACAACAGTAGGAGTATTTATTTACAATTATATTTCTTACATGTAGGATTAGTTGCAATTTATTTTGGCCGTACTCTCAGCTCAAAAGTTCTTGCCCGACTAACTCTCCCTTCCACAAATATTCTATTTATATACATTTTTACAACCAAACTACTATACCTAAATTTATGGTTTTATTTCTAATCCTAGCCTGCTTTTCCTCTAATCGTTTTCATCGGCCTACACCTGCATGACGCGCCTGCGGATGTGCACTTAGCTTTTACCTGTCTGCTTTTCCGCTAATCGTTTTCATCGGCCTGCAGCTGCAGGAGGCGCCTGCGAATGCTCATTTCCTTCTTTAGCAAATTTATCATTAGAGAAAATTACTTAGCCGAAATTAACTGGATTTGGGATTTTCGTAACAGTATTTATACTCAGTTAAACGCATTTCACAACAAAACTATTATTGTTGCAGCCTCAATACATATCTAAATATGGTGACTGCTATGCTGTCCGCGATTGTAACAATGGCCTGAAAATTCTGAATATTTTATAAACTCGTCTTTAACGAATGAAATTCTCCTTTTGGGATGAGAGTAAAGTTAATAGAAAGATAGTATTCATGGGAGTTATTAAGCATATATTTAAATATAAAAGAAAATTGATGATAGATAATAGTAAAGAATAGCAACACCGAAGCGATTCTCGGTAGGCGCGTTAATTTAAAGATCTCTATGTCCGACGCGTTTTTGTGCAACTTAAACTAAAGAACAAAAAGGAAATCGTCAACCAATCTGTACGTCTATAGTTTGAGAATCTTGCAGGAGATTTTAAAGATATTAAATTATAAATATATAAATTAACCTGTCGAAAAACTCCTATGTACTAATCTAGAGAATGTTATTTTAAAGACGGTGTCACGAGTTCGGAAAAATGGATGAAAATTCGAGGAGTTATATAGGCGCGCTTTTTTTGATTAAAATTTTGAATAAAATGTTTGTATATATTTTTACCGTTAGCTTCCAATTACAGCATCAGAAACGGCCTTTATATGCACGAATCTTCTTGTCTGTTCTCTTTCTTCGAAAATTTTATGCTTGAAAGGGCGCCTTTTGCTGCATATGTGGAAAAGAAAACTGCACGTGTCACACTTTGTAAAATCGTCAGGTGAGATATCAGGCTGCAACTTTCGAATACACTTTCGTTTGATCAAGGCAGTCCTTTTTGATGGCTTAGGGATAAGTCATAAACTTTAAACAAAAATTTCTTTTAGCTGGTGAAGTTTTACCCATTGTATCCAAAGTTTAAATAGGCTTGTCTCGAAACACGATGTTCACAGTTTTCATCTCAATTCGAATGTGTAGCTTTGAAATAAAAGTTGAAAGATACGAACCGAAGGGATATCCGATAAGCAATTTAGATATTATTTATTAGCAAAAGATTGCTTGTCTTGGCCAAATATTGAAGGTTTTGATTGAAATACTCACGAAACACCTAAAAATGCTTGTTTTGAAAGTTTTCTACGTAAACATCTGGTAATGCAAATGCATGTGGTATAATTGAGTTCTGATTTTTTCTTTTTTTTAAATTCAAATATGCCTCAGCTAAAGTGAGCGCCGTGGAGCGCTGTGAATTCAAAACCCGAATGGCCCCGGGGATATCTGTTTTCTCATATTTGCGAAAGGTCGTTTTCTTTTTAAGCACTTAACTATATGCATAACAATGTCAATGAATATTATTATCCCCTCGCCGCTTTTCCATTTGGAAAAAGTTGTTAAAGCCCCACGTCTTGAAGGTAAAACCATTATAAACGATTCAAAAGTCCCCTTAACCCAACTACTAATTTTTATATCCTACATACCTTGTAGTGCAAGGCTATATTAATATTGCGTGGATGCGGGCAACACCAAGAAGATCCACCTTTTACCAATCGATTCAGAAACACTCTCTGATTTAAGCCTGTCTCCCGTCTCCACGTCCTGTTTGCTTGTGTTGTGGTCGTAATTTTTGAGATATTCTTATGAACGCTTCGGCCCAAGAAGGAACGCCGTTGAAAACGGTTCGACTCATACTCTGCGTTGAGAAGTCGTCATATGAAAAACGTTGAAATTTTCAAAACTTCTCGATAAAAATCGGCATTCTAAATTGATGTCAAAAATTTGGAAAAAAAAATTTAGGACAATTTTTCGACCTCCTCCTCATATACCCATTGATACGTAAACTGAACTTTTCTGTGGTAAAAATGTCTAATTTTTAATATTTTATGGTGAAAATGATTCCATTGTAGTAATTTGACGGAGAAATTAATCTGGCCGAATTCAAACTACATAGGTCTATTATTTGGATTCAACCTCATATAAAGGTTCTCATGGAAAAGAGGCCCCCATAAACGACCGAATTCTCAATTTTTCATTTATTATATGAAAAAGTGTAAATTCATAAGTGTAAATTGCTAATAAAACTCAAATGTATAAAGTTTGGACA